TTTTTTTTTTTTTTTTTTTTACTTGAGATATATGTTTGAAGAAAAGAACGTACCTTTCTAAAACAAAGGGCGTATTTCCATTTTAAAGAAGAATGTCAGAGAGCCAAACTCTCATATTTGATTTACAGGTATATTGTGGCCAAAATCTCACTTGCTGGTAGCCTGTTCTTGATAAGGTGTTCAGTTTTACTGGCTGGCTTTCTTCAGAATTTTGTTTTCCAGAGCTGTCTCTCCTTTATAAAAATATTTATGTGCCAATTTAAGGCATTCTAAAGTCAATCAGTTGTAAATGTGAGCTTGTATTATGGGACTTTCCTTTACTTTAGTGTGGTTAATGAATATGTTCCCATGACTTTTAAAAGGACTGGTGCCTCAGCACATTTTCAAAATTATGCCATTTGAAGACATTTCCATTTGTAATGCAGCTTAAATCTCATTTCCCTCAATATGTGCCCTCACTTAGTCTATTTTAAGGCTTCCCTGGAAAAAAAAAATGTATCTCAGCTGCTACTCCTGCTCTTAATGCTTTCCCAGTCTCAGTAAGAGCAGAAACCAACTGATGCCTCACTCTGATACTCACACAGAGACAATGTGCAGACACTGCACTATCCTCCAGTCCTGGCTGAAGAGCTCTGTCCTACAATTTCATATTATCTGCACACACAGCTGCTGCTTCGTGCGCCTGCTAAAGCTTCATRTCACTCTGTGGTCTCTGTGACTTCACATTTTCCCTGTAGGAACTTAGAGTAAGACTGGTAAAGACTCCCTTAATTGCAAGCTACTGCAGATCCTAATTGGGAAAAAAAAAAGCATGTCCCCTGAAATAGTAGTACAGACACAGCCACAGATGAGTGGAAGAAGGAGAAATAGAAGGGGCTATAAAGAAGGGGAGAAAAGAGGTGGAAGTTTTACTATTTGATTGTGTCCTTAACTTGCTGAGTCAGCAGGAGCCAAGAGCTCGGCAGGGGCACACTTAGCCTTCACATTTCTCCATAGAAACCCCATCTGGCCAACTAAATTGCCAGCAATTGAGAAGCCATGCAGGAAGCTGTATCCAGCTATTCTCATTCAGTGTGAAGGTTACTGTGTTGTGGAGGTAGTGGCAGAGGAAATAAGGAAAATGTTGCAWGACTATGACTCTCACATGCAATAAAGGAAAGAATCAAATATGAATCAAAATTGAGCTGTTCACTGCTGTACTTCTTAGTCAAACAAAGAATTAGGGTAGCTTGTATTTTGGAAATCAAGCAAATTTGTGAAGAAAAATCATCATGGAGAAAAATAGTGAAAGAAATTCAATAACCATATTTTATTATATTATTTGGGTTTGAATTTCAAAATCAAAAGCTTTTCCTTGTATCTTTCTGTYGGGTTATCAGAAAGAAGTTTCGTGGATCCCTACTTTGCCTTTGCAAGTACATCTAAGTTCAAACTCCATTTAAAAGGCYTAGAAAAATTAAATGGCTTCTCTGGGCCTCTTAACATGTAGTGCTCATCCAGATGCAAACACTTAACTGAGATATAAACCAGTCACAAACCACCAATATTGCATAAAACAATCCAGTAAGTTACATGGGGAAAGCTCCAGAAGAATGCACGAGCCCCTGATTTATGTGCTGTGAAACAGCAATTGCACTTTAGCCCTTTGGTCAAGTGTTTCCCAGCAAGTGAGGACCTGCTCTCACCAGAGAGATGTGCCAGTATTAAAGGTGAAGCACAGAAAACAATACAGTCCAATGAATGTTTTAACTGAGACTCTCTGTCCAGAGTAGYAAACTGCAATGCCAGCAGCAACAAACTGAAGGAAAGAAGATGGGCAAGTACAGCAGTGTGAAAAGAATAGGAAATGGGGAAAAAAGGACAGCTCAGTGTCCAGGAAAGCTTGGYACTAGTGATTTGTCTCTGTGTTCAAAATAAAATATGTTAAATAAGCCAGCATCCTTTATCATATAACTTAACTTTCCTGATGCTAGCTGTAGGTTGGTGTTGGCAGGTGATGGTGTCCTGGAGAGGTGATTTGCTCTGAGGTGACGAGGTCACTTGGTGGTGATTCATTGATCAAGTCTTCACATAGTCTGAGCAGTTTACAAACGCATCAGCATTCAGATKGTGGTATGGAATGAGCAATCATTCAGATCCAAAATTATCAGTCCTTTGTGTTTTATGTAAAGCATTTGAGTTTCAGAAGGAGAACTTCAATTTTAATTTCAGATTATTATTTTTTTCTTTCACTGATTAAACTTAGTTTTCTATAAGCCTTGCAAGGCTTTGACAACTGGGCATGAAAAAGTTTCCCAGGAGCAAATTAGCTAGYTGTTTATAAGAACACTAACCACCCCATGAGTTTTCTAAATCATCGGTTCCCAGCCAATAAGTCTGGAGATATGTGTCACATCACCAGTGAAGCAGAGAGCAGAACAGAAACTAATAAACTTCCCTCAAGAATAACACAATATAATTCATTCTATTAATGAGCAGTTGAAGCTACACATCAACTTTTTCTACTACCTTACATCTATTAAACCTGAACTTGGAGAAGGTTTCTACTAGCCTCAGTTAATTTTTAAAGAGGTTTACATAAAGCTTTACCTTTTCTTTGTTTTTTTTTTGGTTTTTTTTTTGGTTTTTTTCTGGAAAGGCTAAAGATATGGACTATTAACTACATCCTTGCTAGCAATGTAGAAGTACTGGTAAATGTTAAATCGTTACAGTGAGTACTGAAGAAAGTGCTACAGGAAAGTGCTAACTTGCTGTTAAAAGCAAGCAGCAAAAGTAGATTTAAGCTTCTTCTAGAAATTGTGTTTTCTTATAAATCAGATTTTAATATAGAAAGTATTTCTGTATTGCTCTGCAAAGATAATATATTAAGGATATGTGTTTATAAAAATATCACTCCCGTGACTGTAGTAGTGATCTTACTATATTTCTGTCCAGAATTGTTAATGAATACAAATGTACATATTCATATTCAGTCTGCTTGCTTGCAAAAACTACCAAAATCTACCAAACAACAATGTTCTTAGCCAACTAGAATCACTGTTCTTAAAATACTGAATTTGAATATATATGGTTGTGTTGCCTTTGTGAAAAGTAGTAACTGTGAGACATTATGCATATTGGAAACAGAGTTTCAATCCAGTGCACGTTTAGGTTCCTGTCTGAAGTCTGCAGGACATGTCAGGATGGATTTTAACAGCCATAATTAGGTTTTCTGTTGCTGCCTTCTGCCAATTTAACACAGTGCTCTTTTATTGCAAAGATGGCTTCCTACAATCACATCTGTATCATTTCCTCACAAAATTTTTGCTGGCAAGATGAGATCAGTCATGTGACCTTTGTGCGAAGCCCTAACCACAAAAGACAACCTTTTCTTTTTTTTCCATGCCATTGGGAGTTTGCATGCTTTTCTGATGAGTCCTGGAGGGTTTCCCAGGGAAAGCTAATGYAGACTGACTTTTTTCCAAGCTTCAATTCCTCTTGCTCACCAAAGGATGGTGGGAGCAAGCTTGTTCTCCTGTGGACTTCAATTCTATTCCCAATTCATCAACAGATGGCAGTAGAAAACTCCCTACTTTTTCCATTATAAGACAAAGGCCTTACAAATGACCCTAATAATGTCAAAGGAAGAAAAAACATCCAAATCATTGCTGTCCAAGTCTTATATATATAAAAAATGTGCTCTAAACTTTTCAGGGCAGTGTGAAGATCTCGTAAGGATTAATTTTATGCTGGGCCTGAATGACCATTCAAAGCAGCGACTGGGAATGACTTGTCTTTCCTGTTACCTTGCTCTGTTTTTAAAGATTTCTTTTGTAGAGGTGCTTTGTTTTTCTGGTTGTGAAAGCATATATTTAATATAGATTATAACAAATAATTTTCTTTCCCCACAGATAGATAGATTTCTGTGATGAAAAATCTGTTCTCTTATCTCAGTAAAGACTTTTTCAAATGTTATCATTACAGTGACAGAACAAGTAATTTAATCAGTAAGTTTTTGAGACATGCCTCACTAGATTTTGTCGTTTCATTAATTCCTCCCCCTTCAAATCAAGTAGATGGTATAATAAACTTAGTCAATTCTTTATATAGATCGAAACATTAAGATGCATGGAATATACAGTAGTTTCTTATTCAATTTTTTAAAAGATACTGATATCTTGGCATTGCCAATCAAGGAAAAAGGATTACCATAAAAATTTCTTAGAGGCATTTTTTTTCTGTAATGTATAATAGTGGGTGTCTGATATAGGAAAACTCATATTATATAATTCTCTTCAAGCCTCAAGGCACATGAATAAGGCCTAGAGTTCCTGATTTCTATTCCCACCTCTTTCACTAACTTATCTTAATAATTCTTTGCAGTTCACAATTTTCCAGCGTGCTTCTTATGGCGAAAGAAACTGATTTCAAAGGGAAGAAAGAAAGGAAGAAGAAATGTCTCTGTCAAGCATTGCTGGAATGAGTGACTTGCTGTTCTAAACATAATGGAAATGTTTCAATTTGCTGAGCCAACGATTTAAATTGAGGTAGGTTTGAGTAAAATCTTCTTTGAGATGTGAGGRCTGATTTCCCTTCAGTTTAGTGAGAGGACTTTTTTAGAGTAAACTTTAACCACTGACCATGTGTTGGCTGTGTGAAGGTGCTGCTGAGCCCCAGCACAGTTGGCAAAGCAAAGTGTATGTCCTAGAAGTGAGCAGAGCAGTCTGCCTCCACACACTGTTCTGCAGAAATGTTGGGGGAAAGCCAGCATAATGTCAAAGACATGAAGACTGAAACCTCATTTTAAAAGTGTTTTTACTTTTTGCTTTCTCACCATTATTTCTCGTTTGGTTTGGGGTATTTTTTTCACTTTCTTTTTTTTTTTTTTTTATCACCACCTCTAAAGAAAGGGAAAACCTGCCACAATAGAATATGTTTTGGCCCCATTATCAGAAATATTTTTTGATTTTTACCCCTCTCCTCACCATCTTTGCTATCTAAGTATCGTAAAGTTTTTCTATAACTAGAGAAAGGAGATAGATAATGTGGTAACTATTCAAATAATTTTAGGTATATTTTAGCAGTGTTTTATTTATATCACTAATTTAAGGTTGTCATCATTTTCATATGAAAAATTTTGAAAAAAATGGAAGTAGCACTAATTCTTTGGCTATAGGCATAAATAATGGTGTTGAGCCTGATACTATCTTATTCTTAGGAAAAATACAACCTGTATTTTTAAAATGAGGTTTTAGTTCAGGTATATCTATTTGAGTGAAGACATTGTTAACAAGTTTGCTATGTGTTAGCTAAGTGTAAATACAAACCAGTAATAAAAGATACAATTTCAGAGATAAGTACTCATATACATCGAAATAGTTGTAGAACCTTCATTTAGTCCTATCATGATGTCTTTAATCTGTTATCATGGACATTTATTTCCAGAGGACCCTGCCTGATTAAATATTAAATATTAAAGACATTAAATATACACCCTGATTTTTTAAGAAATTAATTCCATTAATGAACTGTGTGTTCAGACTCTTCAGCCTGTGTCCTCCAGGTCCCTATGCTGTGAATAGGAAAAAATAAGTTAGAGAATGAAAAACTCATCATGCACTCAGTAGGGTTTTCTCATGGTAGTGTTAGTATTTGGAAGATAGTAGCTTCCTTTGTGAATAACTTTGAGATATGTTTTATTGAAATGTTGTACAATATTATATGTATGACACTGACAGTATGGAGGTGTTATGTTCTGAACTGAAAAAAATTCAACAATCCACCAACAAGTGCATCTGCACTGGGAGCATGTTCCTGATAAATATTGAACTGCTACACCTTTGAATTTACCTATTTAATTTGAGGAACTACCAGTGTATGTGCAGAGCATAGAGCAGACCACAACCCAGGAAGCCCTGTCTTCTTATATGAACCCTGCTACATTGCTTCAGGCACGGGAGTGGATATTGTGAAAATGAATGTATTCAGTGCAATAGAACAGAGAGCAAAAGGGTTTCTGGTCTGGACTAAGTACTTCACTGACAGCAGCTGYATTTTTTCTGGTGTGGCAGGTGATYGACAGTGCTGTGATCATCCATCTCCAAAGGCCTTCGGCTGCCTGAGGAAGGCTAAGACCCTGGTTATTGCACAAGTGGTAATTGTATAAAATCGTACCAAATGTGTGTGTTGCATGATGTGAGAGCTGCTGGACAGTGAACATCTGGCTCTGCAGYGGGTGTGTACATGTGTGTGAGTGTGTGTACATGTGTGTGTTTGTACATGCGTGTGAGTRCGTGTGTGTGAGTGTKTGTGTGTGTSTGAGCRTGGTGTGCMGKTGTGCAGGCTGACCTGCTGCAGTCTATTCATACTGCCTGTAGGTTTACTTTGGAGTAAATGATCCCCACCTGAAGTTTCCCTGAGAGAAAATTAGCTGTGACAGTTCAAAAGAGAGCCCAGGAGCAAACTGACAGACAAGAAGTGGGAACAGTTGATGACTGCAGAGTGAAGTGAAATGGAGTGCTGAGTTGTTTGACAGCATGCAAAGGTGACTTAGATCAATGTAGCTTGTCAACTGTATCTGTATGGCASTGATGTCCTGAGGAGACATGCCCTGGAACATCGTTCTCATATCTTGGCTTAATTCTGCAAAGATTCCTGCGCAGAGACATGCATACCATAGTGGGTTTTTTTGACCTGGGCTTTTTTGTTGTTGTTGTTTTGGTTTGGTTTTTTTGTTGTTGTTGTTTTTTTTTAATGTATGACTCCTCATTTTTTAAGACATTTTGGTGTCATTGTCTTTCACTTCTTAAATATTTACTCAGCTTTTTGTGCTTAAATTGCTTTATTTTTTCAAATTTCAATGCAACTCTGATACAACACAGAAAAACAAATGACATTTTAATTCTATTGTGAATGATTATTTCCAGAATGTGATCTTATTTTCAGAGACCACTCTTTCTGTGTACTGTGATCTAATAAATTTCAAAGTGGTATTTCTATTATCCTTACTGTATTTTTAACTTCTCTGTTAATATTTTTCACAGTTTTTATCCCCAAATCCTACTTCTGTCCAGTTTTAGCAGTTATYATTAATCTTTTGACTCTTTAGACAGATTATTTATCTCTTCACCTTCCCCTTATCAAACTTCCATAAGAAATTTTATTTCAGTAAGTATGGTAAATTTTACCAGTATTCTTCTCATATTGTATAGTTCATAGTTGTCTTTTAAATGGAAACATTTTCCTCTTTCACTTTGTAAGGATTAGACAGAAAAAAAAAAAAAAAGTTAACTTTCGGGACCATGCAATTGTAAGCTGCAATACTTCTTTCCAATTTTTTTAATCATAAGAAATCATGCATCTGTAACAAACTTAAAATATTTCTGTGTTTTGGGAAGTCTTGTAATTTCAAACTCTGCTTTCCTAAAATATTGTTGAAAGAATGTGCCTTGAATTAGAATATGAATTTTCAGACACTGTAATAAAGTATTCATGGTCCCAGTCATATTGGACAATTAAAGTGAACTTTAAAGCTGAAATTAAACACCTACATTCAAACCAACACCTCAAAATATCWCTATTAGCATTAATTCATAGTGGAGAAACTTATTTTGGATTACCAAATCTCTGTTACGCTGTTTAAGAAGGAGAAGGAAGGCTTTGGCCAGAATAACAGGCAGGAAAGAACCCAAATGCTAAACTTCAAAACCGCCTGCTTTTCAAATTTGTTTTTAGTTCAATGTATTTCTGGTATGAAATCTCAAAATTCAGGCCATATGCAAAGTGTTTTGTCTGCTATGCTACAGAAATTGCRTGCTTTTGTTTAGGTCAGGAAATATCTGCATATGTGGCTGAACAGCCTTTGTAGGCATTATAGATCTGAGATGTAGGTTTTAATATCTCTTGATTAGTTTAACCCTTTTATGGATTTCTGTGTGAGTTGCTGGGCAAAACAGGAACTAGACACTGCTTACAAAGGAAAATTTTGATCTGCTCACTGGGTTGTCTCAAGAGACACTAGGTTGTGTCAAGAGATAATTGTGCTCTGATTTAACAAGGCACCCAACACCTTGAAAGAGGACCACAAGCTCAAAGTGGTATTAAGTGTTTCTTTGTTAGATAGCTTTAGAGATTTTTATGCGGCCTGTATTCACTTTTTTTTTTTTTTTTTAAAAAAAAGAAGTGTTAAACATTTAAAATAATTGTGATGCAGCAGTCATTTCATTTTATGTACTGGGACTCCTAAAACTGATATTCATAGTCGAATAGGGTTTTCCAATAYGTTCTATTTTTGGTGTCTTTTATGTAAAGAACTGCAGTCAAGAATGGAATTATAACACCCTTCTAGTGGAACACGGAAACATAGCCATCTGGCATGTATGTGTTTCATCATTTTGCCAATTTCTTTGCTACAGCCTATTTTAGTGCATGGGAGAACCTTCTTTTACTTGGTGCTTTTGTCAGAGGGAAAAATTAGTGGAGATAGGCACACAGTCTATATTAAAAATATCTCCTTATCTCAGTGTACACCRTGCTGAATGATTTGGTTGGGATTCCAAATGGCCTATGCTTATGAATTATTATATAAATATGAAATTTTTATAGTACTGCTGAATTTGTTGTCACCTGCATGATTTAATCAATCAATTTTCCAGTGCAAGATTTTCCACTGGATTTTTAAAATGCAAAAACTTGCTGTCTCTCAGTGTATTTATTCTGTATCGGTATAACCATGTTTTAAATGAAATGCAAACAGGAAGCAATTCAGTTGGGTTAAGAAGAATCATACTGTATTGCAATTGGATTTGTGCAGATAGTTAAGAGCTATTCTTTCCTCTTCTCCAAGAGTGATACTTCTTATGTTTTAGGGTTTTTYTCACTTTCTTCTCTTTTTTATGGAGTGAAAATCTAATACGCAGTTCACAGTTCACTTTTGTGAAACCACACCACTCTGGAGTACTTTTAAATCKATTTCTAGTCATTCTACTTACATTTAATAGTTAAATTGCCATTTTTATCTGTTAATGTAGTGTTTTCCAGTAAATGGAAATGGGAATCCTTCTGTTTAGGCACTCCAGGAGTATGAGTGAGGTTCTAGGAAGTCTTAAGCAGTTCTGCTCCACACTGGCACTAGATTTGTGAGGATTGTTACGGCAACTACCAACAAAAACAACTTCCAAGTCCTATTTCTCACTCATACTTTGATTCACCAGCTCCAGGCAGATGAAAATGATCCTACTCATCCTACATCTTCTCATTCTAAAATAGGAAGGAGTTAAAGAATGTGCAACATCCACTTAATTTTGCATATTCCTGTATTCTTTTTAAGYCTCCTTTACTGCAAAGCATAGGCATCTCATTGAACTAAAAATCCAGCTGTTAAATAGGGCCTTTTCAAAAAATCTCTAAGGAACTCTCAAAAGTTACAAAGGCAAGGCCAGCTAAGGTCAGGAACATTTCAGAACAGGTATGAAAAAAAAAAATATCCTCTGAACTATTGCTTGGAAATTAGCTCCAGTCCATACTTTTAGTATGTTTTAAGTACCTCATACTTTGGGGCTCCAGTCACGTGAGTTATTATTTTCCTTCTACTCTGAAGCTGTATTAGAATTGGCCATTTTTTTCTGCATGTGGCATGCAGAGAATGGTGACACAGYGATATAATCAAGGAATTTTTTGCATCTACCCTTCCTAAATGGGGAACAGGTATCTGCTTCATGCTAGAAATAAAGCATCAAAACCTTGAAAAAGCAAGTTATGGATAAATCTGCTGAGAAGCAGTGTCAAAAAATCTGGTGTGTGAAAGCTCATCTGTATCATATCTGCATTCTTTGTGTACTTATCTACCTTTGCCCTTTAATAGGGTGAGGAGCTCGGAAGGCTCTTTGGCTGCCTTCCTTTTTTCAGTTATGCCAATAAATAGGGAATTAAATCTAAGAATTAGCCACAAAATAGATTATAATTCAAAGAGTCCTTGCAGGAAACARCAGTCAGACAAAGAGAAAATTGGTCAATTCTCCTGGTATCCTATGGGTCAAGGACTGGAAAAGAAATGATGACACCCCATTATGGAAAGTCAGTATTTTTGAGACCCAGAAAGGAGTTTTAAAAAGATGCAAAGCTAGAGTTGATAAGGCTTTTTGAAGCACAGAAGTGACTGACAATCATTGATTTTGCCTTCAATGTTGTTCAACACTGGTAATTTTAGCAACATCTGATAGTCTCTGTAGTTAGAAGTACATAAATATTTTTATTACAAGCAGCATTTTTCAGACATGAAGGCTTTTGCTATTTCTAACTGTGYAAGTATGTGTTTGTTAAAGTTGTAATATCTACCATCAGTGCTTAACTTCTTGGTCATTCCATAAAATCCATGAAGAAATTCAGGTCTGAGTTGGAAACCTGGGGTTTTACTGACGTACCTCACTGAATTATCAGGAATCGTCACTGAAAACAGTTCAACGACTGGAAGACAGGAAGAAAATATTTTTTAGTAYCAGGATAGAATGAGCAATTTTGTTTTCATTTATTCTCTATTGTAGATATTTTGTACTTTATATACTACCGCTGAAATAATATCAGTATCAATTCTATAACACCATAATAGATCCCCAGCTGGTCAGTCTGAATGCCTTTGAGACAAACCAGCTCAGCAAGTMTGGCAAGTTATTTAAATTACATGTCATCAGAGGCTTTATAAAGATAAGTGAAACTGCCATTTTCTGATACCAATGGCAGCAGGTAAGCCYCTTGAGATTGTTTGAAAGATTTGTCAAAAATGTGTTCCCTTAAACAGTAAAAAAAGCCTTTCACAGAAATTCCATAGGTGAATTAAACAAGAATAGCATTTTTCTTCTAGTTTACAGTGATATAATTTTTATAACAACAGTGATATACATCTATAACAACAGCAGCTATTATTGTATTAGTATTAAAACACAAAAAAATCACATATTGGGTCATTGAAATCTTAAATACAGTCTGTATTTCCACTCCTGTGCCACCCTTTCCCCTTTTTTTCTCCTCCCCTTCCCCTTCCCCTTCTCCTTCTCCTTCTCCTTCT